TGGGGGGCCATTCCTTCCCCACACAGATGGAATCAAAGGCAAACAGGAACCCTGCAGGGCCCAGCTGTGACCCCTGCCCCCAAACTCAGCAAGACCCATTAACCCCTCCTCCCATCTCTCCCGATGTACTCTCATCGCCCAAAGAATCCCCCAAACAGCTTCACCTGGTATTTGCTGCCTGAATCCCAGCCAGGAGACGCCAGATTCCCCAGCCAAAAGGATACCCAGGCCCTGCCCACCTCCACAGTGGCTCTGCATAAAATATCAAGGTCATTTTCCCTTAAAAAACAAAAACAAAACAAAAAACAACAACAAAATATAGGAGGCTTTTCTTCATTTCTATGCCCAGAGTTAAAGGGTCCAGACTCATTTCCTAGAATCACAGTAATCAAAGTAGACATAGCTGTTCCCTACTAACAGACCAGGCAGAAGCAATTGCTCCCTCATCTCCTCCCAGGCCAGAGTAACTGCAGGCTCCTTCTACTGCTCCCCTGAGGAGGAAGTAGCCCAGAATTCAGGGAGCATTAGAAGTGAAAGGGACCTCCAAGGCTTTCTGGTACGCCTCAGGTGGAAACGTCAAGGCTAGCACAGAGCCTGTCCAAGATCATACAAGTGGCTGGGGAAGCCAGTGGGGCCTGGCTTTCAGGCAAGTTCTCACTGCACCAGACCATGACCCAGACCCCAGACAGGGCAGATGAGAAACAGGCCCAGAATACTGTGGACCGCCGTGCCCGAGAGAACCAACATACAAATGTTTTCTTTAATCTCTTCAACACCCCTACCTGTGTGTCCCAACAGGACCCCAATGTGGACCTTTCTGGAGTCAGAGAAGCAAAGAAAGCATGGGTCAGAGGCAGAGGGACCAATGGGGACTGCTTTCCAGAGTCTTTCCCTCATCTTTCCTTAATTCTATACAGCATGATTTGAGTCATCTGAACAGGACAATAAAAACCATCTGGGGGAAAGATTAAAGATGGCAGGCGCAGGAAATTCCGAGGAAGAGAAGTACTGAGTACACAGAAAAGAGAGACCGGGAAGAAAACAGAGGAATCGATATCAAGGAAGAGATGAGAAGAAAAGCCACACAGTCCCTGTGGTCCAGTGGGGGAAACTCAGGTAGCAGCGGGCCTAGGGCAGCTATATTCCCACTGGCAAGGCCACTGCAATCTGAGGGAATGGGAGCAGAGGACTCAGGAGAATGGGGGAATGAGAGAATGACTTTTGGGGCACTAATTAAGGCCACCCCAGGCCTTCTAGACCCCCAAATAATTTTTCACCCCAAGATGGTCTTTCTTTGAAAGCAGAACAGTTCTCACTTGCACCCTCAGAAGGCTCCAGAAACCTGGCAGCAGGGACAACCAGTTAAAAGGGAAGAAGAAAGATGCAGGGAATAGGAGAGACAAGGACAGTCCAGGGGGCTGGCAGCAGGAGAGGCAGGCAAGAGGGACTGGGGCAGAGGAGTGGGGTGAGGGGGCGGGAGAAGGGACGTGGGCGGGAATGATGGAGCCTCTCCCAGCTCTTCCTTCCCTGCCTCTGTCCCTCCCACTCCCTCTTTCACGATCTTGAAACAACCTTCAAGTCTGGGCTGGAGGCCCCAGGAGGCCAGTCACTTAGGAAACAAAACTGTTTCCTTTACAAGTCCATCTGCAGCTGAGCGCCCACCCTCCCCCTTGCGCACTCTCCCAGGGACTCTCACGTACACCCACAGAACTGCACAACCTTCACTGTAGCACACGTTCACGCCTGCACACAGACATGTGCCCGTCACACACTGCTGTGCAGATGACTAATTTGTAATAGGTGGACCACGCATCCAAGCGAGCACTGCCCTTTCACCATCAACTCCTTAAAAAAAAAAAAAAAAGAATAGTCTCTCTCATATAATCTGAGTTGGCTTCTCAACCTTGCTTTGTAGTTTAGGATGACCTTGAACTTCTGACCCTCCTGCCTCTACCTCCCAAGTATTGTGATTGGAGGCATGTTCTACAAGCCTTGGTTTAGGGGAATATTAGGGCTAGATTCCAGGGTTCCATGCCTGCTAGGAAAGCACTCTACCAACTGAGCCACATGCCCAGAGTGAAACTCCTTTGGAATTAGCACTTGGTACATTCGAACCTACATAATCCCACACACGAATGTCCCCTTTGGTGGTAAGTAGCACCCCACCTCTAAGCTAGTACTTGTTCCTGTTTCTTTCTGTTCCCTACCCCTGCATACACACACTTACTTTCCCAGATCTCTGCCAACCAAACATGGTTCAGACCATCTCCATCTTACCCCCGGGACCTTTCTATTCTGTGTTTTCTCTCAAGACCATGCCTGCCTTCCTACCTCCTGCTTTCCCGTCTTTCTGTCTTCCTCCTTTGTTCCCTTCTTGACTCAAATGAGTCCCCATGTCTGGGTCCACCGATAGCCAACCCAGGCACAACAGATCAAAGGACCAGGTGTCTATTCCCACTGTGTTCCGGAGTCTGAGACTCCCAATTCCTCCACAGAGGGAGTGGCCATGGAGGTATGGGTGAACAGCAGGCAGTGGGTGCCCTGCCTACCTTCACTTGCTGCAGTCCAAGTATGGGAGCAGCAGTGTCCTTGGGACTGTAGTCACCCCAATGCAGGGCATGGCAGGGAGCCCTAAGAGTCTGTGTGAGCAGAGGAAGGGTACAGCCCTTTCCGTTATTGAGCCTGACTGGAGACAGCAGAGCCAGGGCGTGGGAAGGACTGGGCAACACTGGAAAGTGCCAGCAGGGGTGGGAGGAGGGGGAATGAACGCAGGGGCTCAGAGCCTTGTGCTTCTCTTCTGTCTCACCTTGTATCTTGAAGAAGCTAGGGAGATTACGCAGGAACTCTAGTCCAGGAGTATAGATGCCCCTTGACCCCAAGGGATCATCTATTCACCCCTAAATGCCACCAGCCTCTGGATAAATTTTCTACGCTTTACGTCTTCAGCTGCTCTCTATGTCCTTGACATGCAGGGACTGTGTCCACTTCCTGTCACAGTTTCCCAGTCTCATCTATTCCAGAACTAAGCCCAAGGCCTGGAAGGGACCACAGACCATGAGAAAATCCATGCGTGCTTATCCTGCCCCATCCTTCCTGCCTAGGCCCAGGAGGAAGCAGTAGGGGCAGGTAGGATCTGCCCTCGGATGACTGTAATGGAAAAATCTCAGCTGCAGACCCGGAGGGGGCCAGTTATTTAGGGAATTCAGATGTGAGCCCTGTGCCCTGAGAGTAGATTTCCTGGACAAGAGGTCTATAATCCCTCTACAGGGAGCTCCCTCCAGGCCTGGAGGGGATGCAACCCAGTCAGCCAAGCCAGCGGGTGCCTTAGGCCTCCCGCCAAAGCCCCATCCCCTCTCTCCTTCTTTCCCAGTCAGGGTTCTCAGACATGCCCCTGCTCAGCAGGGGTGCACTCACTCCATCTCTGGGCCTAGAGAAATGGGGACACTGCCGGGGAATCCTGTCCTCTGACTGCTCCCGGTAGGTGGGGGCAGGAATTTTACTTCTCTGTCCCCCACCCTTTTCTTTGGCTCTTCATCAAATGAACTACCTCATCACCCCCAGAGCAGCCGCCCCTGTTTCTATTGAGTATAATGCTGAAGACACCTGCCCTGCTGGAGGTGATGCCCCGCCCACTTCTCCCCAGGCCCAACTTCCGGGATCCCCCATGCCTCCTTATACAAGTCACTCTCAGTGGAGATGCCTAGGTCTTCCTCCCAGAAGGAGCTCAAGGAAGTCATTGTTCTTCCTAGTGCCTGGACTTGGTATTTGAGGTGATAATGACTTCCATGCTCTCCTCAGAAATGCCACACCTTCCGGATTTGACTTCCTCCCATGCCATTCACCAACCTCAGACTCAGCAAAGGAGGAGAGGCTCTTCCACTCCACACACAGAATGGCAGAGATGCTACCAAAGGCCTGCTGAGCCTGGCTTAGGGCTGCCTTCTAGTCTTCTGTCCTTCACCTTCCCACCAGCCTCTAGGTGCCGAGAGTCTTGATTGTCCTGAATGCTGGATGCCGGTCTGGCCAACTTTTAAATGTTGTGACACAAAGTTGTCATCTACAACATTCACATCATCTAGGAGAACTATGCAATGATGTTATCAAAAACAAATGACCACTATAAAGTACCTCATAATGTCTGAAGTGAACTCAGGATGTTGTGTTGGGCCAAATCCATAGCTATCTTGGGGTGTATTCAGACCAAGGACAGCAAGTCAGACATGTCTGGCTCAGAGGCTACATTTGGGAGGCCTTAGGAGGACCCTCTCTCCATCTCCAGACGTCGGGCCCTGGTAAGGGCTCCTGGTAAGGAGCACAAGTCATCTTGTGCTCTGCTTCCAACTCTCTTTGTCACAGTGTCCCTGCAGCTTCCACAGCAGGGGGACCAGGCTGTTGCTTTTTCTGGGAAATTGGATGTGGACTCGGGAGATTGTTTCTGCCTTATCTACTCAGATTGCCAAATTCTTATCGCCTCAGCTTCCTCACCTGGAAATATAGGCCGTTAGTCCGTAAGACCTCGGGCATCCTATCACCTGAGCTGATGCCTCCCTAGGGGCCACATCTCTGCATCTCTTCCTCCTGCAACCCCCTCCCCATCTCTTTCCCTTGCTCCTCCTCTCTCTCTCTCTTTCTCTCTCTCTCTCTCTCTCTCTCTCTCTCTCTCCTCTCTCTCTCTGTTGTAGCTGCCACTATGGGATAGGGAAGTGCTGAGGGGAGCTGAGGGGGGGACACAGGACAAAACAGGACCATCAGCCAGGGCCAGTAGCTAAAGGGGGCGGGAGGGGAGGAGTCCTCAGGGATCCAGTTTCAACAAACGTTTCTTTCCCCGAGAAGGGGAAGGCGGGGGTGAGGGGGAGAGGGACCTATTTAAAGCTACCCTGTTGCTCAGGCTGTCTCTGTCTGTCTGCCAGGGTCTCCAGCTGCCCCAGACAGGCGGTGTGGTCTTGGGATCCTCCTGGTGACCTTTTCAGCCTAGGTCCCCTCAGCCACTCTACCCCAAGATGGGTCGTGGGGTGAGTATCCCCAAAGATCTGGGGCCGCTCTCTGGAGGGTGAGGAAGACAATGGAGAAAGGGTTGGGGTGGGAATGGGATGTGGAGGGAGAGTGAGAGACGCTGACTGAGTGGGATGGTTTGAACTTGGAACTAGTCTCCCAACTGCACGAGCGTGTGGATTCCAAAGTGCTAGCCCAAGTACTGTCCTCTCCTGCAGCCACCCTGGCCTCCTCCTCTCCCACAACTAGCCCAGAATCCACCCAAGTGCCCTTCTAGATCTCCCTGCACTCGGTCTCCTCATCTCTTCTCCCCAAATCCCTCCTCTCTCACCACAGTTCTTGGCTTCTCAGCTGAAGGGACGTTTGGCATGGTCAGTTCTCTCCCGCCCTCATTACCCACTGAAAGTATCTACTCCTCTGAGGTCCTAGCCAGAGAGGACAGGGGCCAGCCTAGGATTGCAAAGCAGCTGTGGAACACCCCACTCCCAGAGCCACCAAGCAGTTTGCTACACTAACTCCAAGAGCCCTCCCTACATGCCAGTGTCAACTGAGAGGGAGAGCAGGCATCTATCCCCAACCCTCACCCCAGCAACCCTCCGGATGTCCCCAGAAACACTGTCCTCGGCTCCTGGCCATAGGCTTTGGGGTCCTTTCCAAAAGCTGGTGAAAACTGCCCGTGCCCATGGCATCCTGAAGCAATGGATTTGCCAACAAAAAGATTAATATCCATGTCTGTGCGAGCAAGGACAAAGTTTCCAATTCTTGGAAATGAAATTCCTATATGAAGAAAAGTGACCCAATCCCTTTACATACCATGCTCGGCCGCTTTCCTTTTGTGGAATGCTGGCAAAAGAGGGCACGGAGGGAAAAGGTTTGACAAGGCATTGCAAAATGTGAGGGAGACAGTGCCACGGGGTGCTGTGAGCCAATTTCTGGGCCCAAGGAGAAGTCAGGCAAGGACATGTTATTGCTCTCCGCTCAACAGCTGGAAAAGCTCTGAGCCTGGCCACCAGGTTTCCAGAGTTAGGGTGGGAACTGGAAATAAAAGAGCTGTGCTTGCATACATGCATGTGTGTGTGTGTGTGTGTGTGTGAGGGAGAGAGAGAGAGAGAGAGAGAGAGAGAGAGAGAGAGAGAGAGAGAGAGCATGTGTATATGTGTCCACAATCTCGAACCCCTGTGCTCCCAGAAAGCTGGGAGTACTGCAGGCATTCATGAGTGAATTCACACTATGTTTCAGCAGGTGAATTTTCAAATGAACAGCCTTTGGGCATTCAGAGGTATAGATGGAGTAGGGGTGAGGACTGTGAGCCCACCCTTAGGAGCTGTCTATGGAAGGAAGTGGTCATAGTCACAGGAAGGCATAATATCCTGGGACCTTCAGCAATATCTCCTTTGGTATCTCCTGCTCCCCATAGAAAGGGAAAGAAGGTCCAGCTAAGGTGCAGAACCTCTGAGATGTCAGGGCCAAGCAGGTCAGGCAAGCCCCACCTCCATCTGAGAGAAAAGAGAGAGAGGATACACCCACCCCCCACTCTACCTTACAGCAAGGTGGACCTAGCTCACAGTGTTCTTTCTACTTGAAAAGCAATTTGAGTGGGGCAGTGGTGGCCCATGTCTTTAATCTCAGCACTCAGGAGGCAGATATAGGTGGATCTCTGCTAGTTCGATGCCAGCTTGGTCTACAGAGCGAGTTTCAGGACAGACTCCAAAACTACAGAGAAACCCTGTCTCAAAAAAAAAAAGAAAGAAAGAAAGAAAGAAAAAAGAAAAGAAAAGCACTTGGACCTTGAATTCCCCATTCTCAACTTCCCCCCAGCACCCTTGCTGGGTCGATAACATGTGGCTGTGAGCAATGCTGCTGCTAATCTGGTCTCTTTGGTTTAGAAAGCCAGGTTAAGTTTGGGATCTTAGGTTGGGAGCTCAGAGTCCTGCCTACCAGGGAAGCCAGCCCTGCGGAACACAAGCTCCCATTCTCCACACTCCACTCTGGGGTCTGCTTCACCTCCACCCCAGCCCATCACTGTGTGGCTGTGAAAGGCAGCGTGGGAGTTGAGGGAAGAAATCACACTGGTGGGAGGGAGCCAGAGGCTGAGGTGGGGGGGTGGGGGGAGCGTTGGCTGATTTCCAGCTACCCCCACTCTGTCCCAGACTCTGGCTTTCTCAAAAAGAACTCTCTGTTCTCCTTTAGCATTCAAGACCCAAAGAGAGAGACTTGTGCTAATGGAGGGAGAGAAGAGAAGGGGAGAGGGGGGTCCCCGCTTCCTCTTTCTTTCTTCCCTGGACAGCCACTGGCCCCAAATCTCGGCAGGCTCCTGGCTGTGGAGCCTGAGATCCTTGCCAGGGCAGGAGGAGGGGGAAGGGCAGAGTGCCCCAAGCTTTGCACTTAAGGGACAACAGGGCTGGGGGTGGGGGCAGGGGCACCACATGGAGCTGTTTAGCTCAGCCACAATTCAACATGCCAACATGCAAGAGCCAGTGCACTTTTCCCCAGAGACATGCATTTGTTTATTTGTTTGAGATGGGAATCTCACTATGTAGCCCAGGCTGGATTTCCAGTCCTCCTGCCCTCCACCTCCTGAATCCACTCCCAGCTCCAGAAGAGGGCATTTGATCCTCATTTTCACGTATTTGATTTTACACCAAATGTGCAGAGATTTCTCTGGGCTCTGCTCGTTGGCCCCCAGCACATGCCTTTCCTGGAGGAAGGCTCCCATCCCTGAAGCCCCCAAAGATCACACTGCTTGTCCAGATTGCTTTCTTGCATTTTCGGTCCTTTTGTGGTTTCCCATCCTTTTACTCAGCCCTGCCTCACCAAAGAGACCAAAGCCTTTCAATCCACCCAATAAATGAAGCCTCTTACAGCCCCTGGGAAAGGGAGGGGTAGAATACGTCTGAGTACTTCTCTACCCTGCCAATGGCCACTTCAGTCTCCCCAGGATCAAGACAGGACTGGATTCACAGGTGTTTGAGATAGAGGAGAGAGCATGATATATTGGTCACCTTTTCTAAAGAGAGCATGTCTGAGCAACACAGCCACCAAGGGCACACCTCCTTCCATCTAGGTCCTTGAATCCTGGATCAAGTGCCCATCATCTTGTGTTGTATCTTCCATCCCCTTCCTTGCTCTTGATTTCACTGGGCAGAATTCTGTAATTCATGGTACCAAGTTTATGGTTTCTTATGATCACGACAGCTGTCATGTTCCCCAGGATGGCTCTAACTCTGATAGGTGAAAATACATTATCCCAGAGCCCTTAGGACTTGGAGTAGCACAGTCACATGAAAAGGGAGGTCCACAGTGATAAACACCTGCCTAAATCCGCAGAAGGAACACTGACAGCTTGTCAGCCATGGCCAGTGAGGAAACAATGTAACACTCCAACAATGCAGAGACGGAGACTGTCGGTGCCTAGGCGTCGGGAGCACATCCTCTACTTGCCACTACCTTCTCAGTCAGCTAAAAAGCTGCTTTTAAAAAGAACTACTAAATGGGTTTCAGTGAGGAAACCTCGGAAATCTACAGGACCTCCTGTAGTTCAGTACTTATCCCTAGCATAGGTGTGGACTTTGGGAGCCCATTCCACATAGAGGAATACTCCCTGAGCCAAGACACACAGGGGTGGGCCTAGGCTCTATCCCAAAAGATATGATAGACTCTGATGATACCCTATGGAAGGCCTCACCATCCAGGGGGAGCAGAAAGAATATATAATAGATAGGGTTTTAGTTGGGGGGGGTGGTAGGGGAGGACGGGAGGGACAAGGGAACTAGGATTGTCATGTAAAACAATCTTGTTTCTAATTCAAATAAAAAATGTTATAAAAAACAAAACAAAAGATAAATAAATAAATAAAAAGAACTCCTAAAAATGAACCCCACCCCCCAATGCATAATCTTGAAAAACAAAACAAACAAAAAGCACACAGGCTAATATTTCTACCAGATACCTATTCTTTATGGAAAGCACCAGTCATAACCATGGCATAGAAAAACCCCCTTCTTAAAGCTCAGGGTAGCCTTCAGGGTCCATAGAAAAGCCAGAAACTTAGCAGGAGCTGCAGAGCCATGGAGGGAGATGACAGAATTTTTCACACTATCCATACATAACCCCCTGGCCTTTCCTAGCCCTCCATTCCTCCAAGACTGCCTCCATCTAAATGAAGACTCCACACCATCTCCTTCAAGAAGCTCCTATGAGACCCCCAAAGCCTGCAGTAGCCCTGAAGAGAAGGGCAAATGGGACCTCAAAGATCACTATTAAAAACACCCAGCTAGGCCGGGCGTTGGTGGCACATGCCTTTAATTCCAGCACTTGGGAGGCAGAGGCAGGCGGATCTCTGTGAGTTCAAGACCAGCCTGGTCTACAAAGAGAGTTTCAGGACAGCCAGGGCTGTTACAAGGAGAAACCTGTCTTGAAATAAATAAATAAATAGAACAAAACACAAACCTGGACAGAAGCCCAAGACTGGCCCGGACTTTGACATGACTTCAGTTCTCTGTCTCCTCTCATATACCATCTCTTTTTCTTTCTCTTGTTTTTGTATCGTTTCAAGGGTTTCTCTGTGTAGCTTTGGAGCCTGTCCTAGAACTCACTCTGTAGACCAGGCTGGCCTCAAACTCACAGAGATCTGCCTGCCTCTGCCTCCCGAGTGCTGGGATTAAAGGCATATGCCACCACCACCCTGCTACATTTATTTTTTAATGATTTATTTCTTTTTATTTTGTATGCATTGTTTTGTCTGCATGTATGTCTGTGTGAGGGGGGCATGCCTTGGAACTGGGGTTACAGACAATTGTAAGCTGTTATGTGGATGCTGGGAATTGAACCCAGGTCTTCTACCCTTCTAGAAGAGTAGCCAGTGCTCTTAACTGCTAAGGC